GGGGGCGGGTGTAAAAAAGACCCTGGGGGGGGGGGGGCGTAGAACAGAGATAGCACCAACAGCAGCATAGGCATACCTGTCTCAGGAGGGTTATCGACATATGCATGTGTGCCCTGTGGCAGCCTGCTGATGACCCCATGAGACAGCGTAGTTTGAGGGACGGTGGCAGGGAGCAGAGATGCTGAGCAACTAAAGTATGTGCCTGAATTCACAGCCATGGGACATGTGGTCTATACCACCAAGGTCTCGAGGATAACTACTCTTTCTGCTTCCTCTGTGATAAAAGTTTGGGAAAAGATAGTCAGTCATAACCTGGCAGGGAGCAGAGATGCTGAGCAACTAAAGTATGTGCCTGAATTCACAGCTGTGGGACATGTGGTCTATACCACCAAGGTCTCGAGGATAACTACTCTTTCTTCTTCCTCTGTGATAAAAGTTTGGGAAAAGATAGTCATAACGCTCCTCTGGCAGAAGAGAGGAGGAATCCCTAGTTTCTAGGGATAGGTGGGACAAAGAGTGCTTTAATTCACCTGGTCATGTCTCAGTGACTCTGCACCTCACACAATCAGACTGGGATGGCTACGAGACGGTGGACGTAAGCAGGCTGTCCCTCTTCCTGCCCCTGCCTGGAGTCTGTAGCATGGTTTGTATCTATGCACAGGAGGGCGACTGACTGCTCCCTGGAACAGTTGGTGGGGTGAAGACAGTAAGAGAAGACAAGGGCGAGGAGAATGGGATCCCCACAGGGCAGGGCAGGACTGAAGACATGTGGGGCTCCACGTTCCATCTCCTGGGTGTTAGATTTCTCAGTGATGGCAACGACTTCTGTCCTAGCAGAGGCCCAGTCATTGCTTTTGAGCTAGGCCGGCAGCATCTGCCAGAATCAGTCCCTTCTTCTAAACAGCCCTTTGAGCAGGAAGCATCGACTTTATTAGAGATGAGAGAATCAAGACTCGGAGTTCAGTACACTGTCAAGGTCGTAGAAGCAGAGTTCCCAGCCATGTTCTGTCATGTGGATACCCAGCGGCAGAGGCCGTCAACCAGGCGGTGAGAAGTCACACCTCTCCCCTGATCTTACCACTGCAGTGCTAGTCTTGGATCCAGTGACTCCAACCATAGGGCGGGCATCTGGATCCAGTTCTCTGTGACTATCCAAAGAAATGTGGTACTCAGTAGCCCTGGATGGGCACTGGGTCCTTTGTCCAACAGGAAGCTTGCAGCTGCAGCTCTGGGTTTTATTTTTAATTTATTTGTGTTTTATTTTATGTGTATGAGTGTTTTGCACACATACATGTAAGTGCACTCATGTTGTGCAATGCCCTCAGAGGTCAGAAGAGAGAGTTGGATCCATGGAACCAGAGTTACAAGCAGTTGTTAGCTACCACGTGGGTGCTGGGAACCAAACCCGGGTCTTCTGCAAGAGCAGCCAGTGCTCTTAACCACTGAGCCACCT